CTGCGCAACTTGTCCAAAGGCCGAGCTAACTACGCGATGGAGTTCGAGAAGTACGAGGCCGTGCCCGAGAATGTGGCAGAGTCCATTGCCAGCAAGAGCTAAGAGATGCGATGGCACAACATCCCGATGATGCTGAGGAAGCTAGACACCACCCCTCAACGTCAGCGATCGCTTGAAGTTTGCAAGAGATGATGAGTGATGAGTTTTCGAAAGATTTTCAGGCTTAGGCTTAGAGGCGTGAAAAGCAATTCAAGAGCGACGATTTCCACTGTGGCCAAAGACTGCTGGTGTTTTTTCTGCGCATTTTCGAGGTGGTTAACTGTTCCGCTCTCTCAGCTACGTCTCCACCGGTCCACCGCGTGGAAAATTGCGTCCAGAATGCCGTGCAACTTGTGGCAGTGTGGCAGTTCCACGTGCCTCTTCCTGATGCCAAGTTCTCAGGTATTACGGTCGAATCAAGGGTGTCCCGGAGAAGGAGTTGAAGGACACCGTGCACCGACTCCTTCAGTGCCACGGATGGCAATTAAGCCTGTCTTTGTTTGTGCATGCTCTCTAAAACGATGAAGGCAGCACCATGTGTCCTTAGCTTGTTTCGACTTCCCTGAGGCGTTTGGGCTTGTCGCCGGAAGATGCAAAGAAAGCCACGAGCCGCTACAGCGGTGGGATGAAGCGGAGTCCGGCCTTAACTAGCAAACAGAAGATGTTTCATGAAATGTCTGAGATATGAGTGTTGTGAATTGAGCGGACATCAGGGTCCATACTTCGACTGGTATTCACAGTGAGGTAGCCATGGCATGCGGGGCAAACCTGAGCATTCAATCAAGGAAGCTCAGCGTCGCCATCGCCTTGATCGGCCACTCCCAGGTAGCGTGGCCAAATTGACCAAGTCTCGTCCGTCCATGACTTCCATATCTTCCTGTCGGCAACTGTCGACATCGTGTGTGAACACAGAAGACTTGGTCGTCAGCTGTGCATCGCGTCAGATGCTGTTCATGGACGAGCCCACGGCAGCTGTGGACGCGGGGGCTAAGCGCCACCTGTGGAAGGTTTGGCCTGGGGCTGTTTGATTGAAAGCAGTGCTTTCTGTACTTTCCGAGACCAAGCCGTAGCTGGAGCTCCTTTCATCAAGAGCTGTTCAGCCCGCAGGTGATCAACAAGCGTGCTTCGGACCAGAGACTCGTTCGGAGTAGACCATTCCTGGGTGTAGGATGTTGCTGGCTTCGCTTCGGCTGAGTAACATCGAGTCTCGTTCAACCACGTCTTTGTGATGAAGCTAGGGTGTATATTTACAGACAGATGCAGAAAAGTAGCAACTCATGGCAGCAGATGTTGCCAGGCCAAGGCAGTGGTTTCAGATTAGCCGGCTCTGGCAATGCCATGTGAAGAGGTGGAAAAACCACCAAAGAACACTTCCTTCTACCAGTAGCTAAACCAAGTTTATCCTGGGCAGGGGGGTGTGACAGAGTGGCATCCAAGCTGTAAGCCGAAGTAGGCTGACATTGTTGATTTGGACATTGCTACTGCCCCTGCAAGTAGCTGCAGGGCAGTTACAGCTGCTCCCCGCTCCACCCAGTGTCAGAATCTGCGCCGATCCCTTCACAAGTCGCAAGTAATATTGTCAAAGAACAACTGAGGACAAATTAGATCACTCCCCTCAGCATTCCCAGCACTTAAGCAAGCATCAATCTGATGTCCCAAAGCACGTGGCGACGGTGTGTTTTTGTTGAGTGCAGGAAAGTCACTTCCCGCCGCGACTCTTTGACACAATGAAATCCGACGGCAAACCCGCTGAGATCAGCCGAACTAGACCACGTCACCATTCACGCAGGAAGCGTAACTACGAGAAACTGGTTAACAAAATCCTCTCACGACAGCTACTCGCTGTCGGGTGTGGACCTGGTTACGTAGATTGGCCAAGGACGGTGGTTCTGACGACCCATTCCATGGAAGAGGCCGAGGCCCTCAGCAGCCGCATGGCCATTCAGGCCGGCTTTAGAGGATCTGCACGTGCCATAGCCGCCACAGCTCTGTGATGCACTAAAGGCACACGTAGGCAGTGGCAATAAGCAGGTCAAAGGAAGCCTGCGCTGCCTCAGCACCACGATGCACATCAAGCAGAAGCGACCAGACCGATATATGGTCAGGCGCTCCGTGGCCCCCCCCCCCCTTGCCCACCACCCCCCCTCCCCCCCATGGTCCATGGTCCAGGATGCTCCCCGCCCCCTGTGGGTGGGGTGGGGGGTCCCTCTTCCCCCTTTGGTGTGGTTGCGGGGCTTTGAAGTTTAAGGTCTAGCTTAAGCTTTTGAGTTTGGGGTTTAGTTTAGGGCTTAAGGTTAACACTTTCGAGTCGACAGGAGCTTAGGGTTTGTGGTGTAGGTTGGTTAGGGTGACGGTTAATATTCTGCTTCAAGCTTAGAGCCTGCATTTAGGCGGGATTTAGAGTGGGGTATAAGGTTTCACGTGTTAAGTACAGGTTAAGGTTAATAAAACACAGGAACACGCCCTACGTTACACAGGGGTAGCCAAAACCTTGGGTTAG